GCATTTCGCTACGTTTATCAGTATTCCGTGCTCTGATAATCTCTGAAAAAGCTGGCGAAGATGCTGAATATGCTCAGTTTCTGTTTCAGAAAATATTAAAATGTCATCTATGAAGCCGTAACAAAATGAAAGCTCTCTGAGCATTTCATCAACAAATCTTTGGAATGTTTGAGCTGCATTACGCAACCCAAACGTCATAAATTGAAATTCAAACAATCCGAAAGGTGTAGCTATTGCTGTTTTGGGTATGTCTGCTGAATGAATAGGTATTTGATTAAATGCTTTCACTAAGTCAATTTTTGAAAATACTTTACTTCCTGCAAGCTGGTATGTAAAATCTTGGATGTGTTTAATTGGGTATTTGTCGGGTACAGTACGGGAATTCAAGGCTCTGTAGTCGCCACATGGTCTCCAACCAGCATCCTTTTTAGGAGCTAGATGTAATGGTGATGACCATGGGCTTTCAGATCTGCGAGCGGTGCCAACACGCAGCATATCTTCGAACTCAGTTTGTGCTATTTTTAAGCGGTCTGGTGGAAGACGGCGGGGGCGGCAACGTGACTGGTGGCCCTGGTGTCGTTTTTATATAGTGCACTGTACCATGTTTCGGTTCTCTGTATGTACCTGCAGGGCGAGTGATGTCCGGGTATTCGCGTAATAATTGATGATATGGGGTATCTCCAGAGATAATTTTGACTGAAGATATAGATTCCATACCTTTTGTTGCAGGTGCAACAACAGAAAGTGAGGTGAGGTTGTCTACCAAGCGGCGTTGCCTACAGTCTACAAGTAGGTTGTAATGGATGAGAAAATCTATACCTATGATTGGTTTGCTCACCTCTGCAACGACGAATTTCCAGTGAAAGTCGCGTCGTAAACCCAGATTCAGCCGTAATTGCAGGAAACCGTATGTTGGAATAGTAGTACCATTTGCTGCAAATAGTTGGTAATTCGATTTTGCTCGCCTTTCCCTAAGAGAAGTTCGTGGATATACACATACATCAGAACCTGTATCAATAAGAAAATTCATTTTTGTATTTTTATCAACGACGAAAAGGCGGCCTTGTGTATTTTGGCAGACGTTCGCCGCTACTTCCGGCTGCCTTCCCCATTTCCCGGTCTCTGTGTGTTATAGCTGCAAGGGGAAGTACATTGTTAGCTTTAGGTCCAAATTTGTAATGGTACCAACATATAGACGGATCACGTGATTTAGATCGGACACGCTGTCTACTCCCGCTTCTATTACGGTTTGATGGCCGTGATTTAACAAACGTTTAACTAGTATGAAGTGACGCTACCTGATTAGTAAGTTCACTAATTTTCTTAGACATGTCTTCAATTGCCGAGTTATTGGATATGCCTGCTACATGAGCCGATGGTGGTGCTATTTCGTAGACCCTATCGGCCATCTGCGATTGCCTCTAAAGAACCTATTTCAGCCGCTATGACTGTTTGTATGTTCTGAGGGAGACGCCCTGCCCATAGCGTTCTTAAAAATTCGTCAGTAACCGTTTGACCAGCAAGAGATCGGAGATGTCTTAAAAACTGTGATGGTTTTCTATCTTGCTCTTCGTGATCGAGTAATTGCTTCATTTTCTTTTGTTGTGAAGCGGACAGACGTTTTATTAATTCCGTTTTAAGTGTTGTATATGGATTATTATTAGGTGGATTACTTATTAAGTCCTTTACCTCGATTGCGTACTGGTAGTCCAACGATGTAGTTATGTAATAAAATTTTGTAGTTTCCGATGTAATCCCTGACAATACAAATTGACCTTCAACTTGCGCAAACCACAAGGCAGGTTCCTGTGGCCAAAATGTAGGTATACGTACTGCTACTCGGTTCACTTCCAAATTACTTCGATGCATCCTCTGTAGCCATCTTCTATTATTATTATGTATCCAGCGGGTGTTCTAATGGATTTTGTTACCTTTTTTTTTTTTCAGATCACGTCGGGGTCACCAATGTGGTAACAAAATTAAACACCGGCACTTAAGTATATAAGGTTATTATATTTTTCTCACTAATAGGGTTTACAAACACAGCACGGTATAGATATATAAAGAAACAGAGAGAGAGAGAGAGATACGTAACAATTAGGAAGAATGTAGATAGAAAATATACAATAGATTGGTAAGCGATGGAGTAAAAATTTGAGCGTGCATTCGCCGTGAGTGCATACTAGAGACTGATTTACCTAGGCACACGGCGGTCCGACGCTTGCGCATCGAGACAATAGCAAGCCGTCACGGACTACTGGTTATGTTGCAGTCAATACACCGTTCCACGCGAAACGTGTTATGGCGCGCGGGTTTGCGTTCACAATTACATAACTGAATATTTTTCCATATAAAATTTTCTTTTTGGCGAATATAATATAACAAAGAGGTTATAATAAAATATACAATATAATATAGGTGTGTTTCCCACACTTGAAATGCAAATTTCAGTATCTCAGGGACGCCCATGACCGTAACCTGCGCTCTAAAAATTCCCTCGTCCTAGCTACGTCCCTCTATAAAAGTAGTTTCATGTCTGACTCTTTTATTTTGCAAGCCTCGCGTCTCTGGAACTCACTGCCTGAAGACATTCGTACACTTCCTACAAAATATAGTTTTAAAAAAAGTGTTAATGCTTACCTTTTAAATAGTCTAACATAGAACTGCAAAAATGATCATCATCATCATTATCTTTTTTATATTTTATTTTTTTTATTTTATTTATTTATTTAATTCAGGCTACATGGCCCATATTATAAATACCTTATAGACTAACATACATAAGAAATAATAATCAAATATGTAAAATAAAATTGTCTCTATGGTCACGGCACTGACGACGGCAATCTGCCACGGTAGCGCCGATAGACCACCCCATTCGGCCAGTAGTCCTCCTTCATGAAGGTGGGCAGCATATTGGTGGGGACCAGGGCCACGAACGCTTTGAAGCTCGCGTTGTGGCTCGATTCCAACTGCGTCACCCTCAATGTCAGGTTGCTTTTAGTCCGGATGTAGTCAACAATGTCCTGTTCCTTAGTAGCGTAGTGTAGGCGGGATAGGTACATATATTGTGGTCGGTGTTGCGGCACGTAACAAGAAGTTGATGTCAGTGCTGTGCCACAATGATTTCGATTGACCCTCTATTGTGCGCCTCTTCTTTTGTACCGTGACAAAACCATCATCGTCACGGTCAGCAGACTTTGTACACATAGGGGTCATTTTCAGAGTCACTTTAGGCTCATTCCGCTGAGTAGTTGGTTTTTTAGCGGCGACGGTGGCAAAATCCTGGCGCTTTAATAGCACCGCGGACTTTGCTGGTGCTGCTTCCACTTGCAGCGGTGCGGGCGCTCGCGGTGTGCGGGCAGGGGGCGCGGGACGAGGAACGACGTCGGCTCTCGGCGTCACCGCATCGGTCGTAGGTGAAAACGCTGACTCGATAGTCGCGGCGGACTCATCGAGGCATGCTCCACGACGCGTGTTTACATTTCTAGCGTCATCAGATGACCTAGATAATTTTCGTGAATCACGCAAACTATCTACTTCCTTGCGCAACTCAATAATGGTTCCCTCGGACACGTTTAATCGTAGCGTCACATCGGCCAGGCTCTTTTTCAAGGAGACGATGTCCTTGAGCAGGCAAGTAACGTCGACGTGGTCGAAAGTGACGGGAGGAAGCTTGTTAATATCCTTCGCCACAAAAGTCGGCACGTCATCAGGATCGGTCACCTTCAGCAGCGCTATGATATCTTCTAGACTTTTATGAGTGCCGTCGCGTCTGCGAGACACCATCTGTTCGCTCTTGTTGAGAGACTCATAGAGCAGGACCTTCGCCTTCGCGATGTCGTCCTGGCTGAAGTTGGACGTACATATCTGTACTGCACTAATTTCATCCATTACGTCCAGTTTTTGCTGCAGGAACGCGAGGAGCTCGTTAACCACAAGTTTATCACACATGGCCTTAGCAAACTAGCACGGCTTGCGCCGCGCCGATTAATCCGTATATATTTAATTAAAATAATACGTGCACATCTGAACGCGCGTACTGTCAGACTCGATATGTGTAGTATGTTTATAATATATATAAATATGTATGTATGTAAACTCATAATTTGTTTGTATGTAGTATATTATCATGTATATGTATGATCTTATATCTATTTAATATAATTACATTTAATTTCTTTAAACTAAACCGCCTTCGAGTATCTCTGCACTCCCTAAGGTTGGCTGGTAGAGAATGCTATTAGTATTAAGCCCGCCTATTGTACAAAATCAATAAAGTTCATCAATAAATAAAAATAAATAAATTAACAGATCAACTTTAATATATATTAGATACAACACTACAATATATTTAAAATAACAGTTACACATTAAATTGTGCTTTTCAAGATAGAGAAGAGAAGAAGATATCAACGAGTAAATATTCAAAATTACTAAATTACATCGTCGCCTAACCGCTTGTCACCGACCAGTGCAACCCGTGGTTCACTACAACTACCCGCACCCGCCGCAACCGCCGCTGCCGCCACTGCCGCCGCTGCTACGGCCCGGCCGCATACCGTTGGAAAGGTACAAAGTTCGCTTGTCTAACTCAACGAAGTACAGAGAAATAAATAAAATTAATAATACCTGCGCTGGCTGCAATAACAAAATTTTAGATAAAAACTACGTTTTGTGCTGTTCTAGGTGTAAAAAGGTATATGATTTAAGCTGTATAAATATTTCTGTAGAACAGTATCACGGATTGTCAAAATCATACAAGGACGAATGGCAATGTTTTTCTTGTGTTTGCGTGCGGCCAAAAACCGACAACACGCTAACTCCAGTGCGTTCAACTCAAACCACAGTTTCCACTAACAGTAAAAACTGCAATAACGTAAACACCGCGGGGTGGCAAGTCGCAAGTGACAAAACAAAAAGTCAGAAACACAATTGAAGAGACTGAAACAAATAAGGAGTCATTACTTATAACAGAACTGCGTCAGCTCAGACAGGAAATGACGGAGGTCAAACGGCAAAATATCGAAATAAAAAACCAAGTATCTTCTATATTGGCTGAACTGTCAGATAATAAAACTACAGAAATAGAAAATAAACTACAGAACGCGGAACTAGAAATTCACAGCCTTAAACTAACGGTTAGTAATTTAGAACAACATCTCGCGTTACGAAAGCAAGACAATGTAAAGAATGAAGTGGAAATAGTCGGCACAGAGGAGACGGAAAACAAAAATATTCATCATTTAGTATTGACCACTGCACAGAAAATAGGGCTAAAACTGGAAGATATTGACATCGATGATGTAATTCGTGTGGGTACCAAAAAAGCAAAGAACGCAACAGATGTATCAAAATTTTCTCGTCCAATCGTTGTGAAGCTGTTACGGAAATCTAAAAGGGACGAACTAATAAGAGCTGGAAAATCTCGTAAAAATTTGACGTCAGAAAATATTACAAATGGAAATCCTACTAAAATATACTTTAATGAAAGACTAACCAAACACAACCGACAGTTATTTCGTGAGGCAAGACTACGAACGCGAGAAAATGGTTTTCGTTATTGTTAGTCTCGTAATGGCGGTATTTTTGTCAGGAAAAATGACGGAAAACCTGCTGTTCGAATTTTATCTGTTTCAGATATTGATGAGAAAATTGGTAGCCCGACAGAATAGAATAGAATAGAAATAGTCTTTATTCAAATAAACTCATTACAAGCACTTTTGAATAGTCAAATTTTAATTCTACCACTTATTTGGAATGCAGATTCAACACAAGAACAGAACAAGAAGAATTTATATAGATATTTAAGAATTTATATAAGAAAAATAAGGTTAGAAAATAAAATGGTTGTTGAAAGCTGTGGCTATGTCTGTAGGTTTTGTCAATACTTTATTACTAGTCTTTAAAACATTTATATTTGTAGTAACACAGTTTCTACACGTGCAACCGTCCACTTTCTAGAATCCTTATCGCACGGCACGTGTAACGCAGCTGCGCGACCTTCCAGCCGTCGTTACCTGCAGCTGCGCTTAAAAGCGACACGTGTCAAATTGTATATAAGGTCCATATATTGTTACAATAAAAACACACTTCTATTCTGTCCGTCGAGTCTATCATTGAAGCTCCCAAATTCTAACCCCAAAGGAGCGTGTACACACACGTCCTTAAATATTACTATCACATGTCATGTTGTGGATTTCATTTGTTATAATAGTCCAAGATGGTTTGCATTTATTTTTACTCCTGTTAATGAATTTAATGTTTGCGTTTCTTTTGAGATTATATATACGTTTTTTTTAATACATTGGAGTATGCTTTATACTTAGTTTTATTTTCTAATGTCTTATCTTTGTAATATTTATATCTCAGTGATCTTTTTGCCCTACTGCTAAGCCTTATGCCTTTACTAATCCTCAGATCAGTTGATCTTTAGCTTATTAAATGTATTAATTTTAATTTTTAATTTTGGGAAACACAATTTATAAAATTCCCTTATCGATTCATGAAACCTATGAAACGCTACATTTAAGTTGGACTCTACGTAAATATCAGACCAGGAAAGGTTTTTCAGACACTCAAGAAATTTTAGAATATTTTCTTCTCTATAGTCTCTTTTATAAATGTAATAAGATGCAGGTTTCAGAGGCTTGATCCGGACCGGAAAGCTTAACAATTGGGCAGTTTCGTGGTCAGATAAGTGGTAACACTTTTGCAGTTGCACTTTCTATATTACTTAGTATATGATCTATACAGGAATCTTTGCTAGTGGGCTAATTAATATGAAGTTTCAGATTGTAATTTTGAGCTAGATCTTTTAGGTAATTTGATGCTGTTCCATGTTTTAATGTATTTATATTAAAGTCTCCTACCACAACAATTTTTAGCTTCCCGTTATATTTTTTTGATATTTGATGTAGTAAGCAATCAAGTTTATTTAAAAATGTACAGGGGTTAGATAAAGGTGTCCTGTAAAGATAGATTACAATAATTTTATTTGGTAAGATTTCCATACCGCAGCATTCGAAGATTTTTTGTACTGAATGCTTTTTTATAAATGGCAATTCTTTAACCAGAATACAAGTCCCACCTCTTTGCCTATCTCTACAGAAATTAGTAACCATATTGTAGTTATGAAGTTTTAGATAATTATCGTTTCCCTTTTTTAAAAATGTTTGTGTTAAACATATTATATCCGGTTCATTGCACGTATCTTGTAGGTCGTGTAACGTTATTTCTAATAATTCTCTTTTAGAAAAAAAAACTAGCAATATTTCGATGAAGTATATTTATATATATCTCTGTTTCATGTTTAGTCTCGAAAAAATGTTGTCGGATTTACTACTGGGAAGTAGTAAGGAATTGTTCCCTTTTTGTGTTTCAGTTTTTTTGAATGAATATCAGAACATGAATCATCGTTTTCTTCAGTTTTACGGGCAAAATAATAGGGGATTGTTCCTTTCTTCCACGTTTGAATTTTTGACTTGGCACTTACTCTATTCAATGTTATAAGTTTCTTTAATTCTTTGTGATTACAATAAATTCGGTCATAATCAATACAGTCAATAGTATAATTAATGGATTTACAGATGACAGTTAAATCTTTGGAACAGCATTTTGTAAAATAACAGTTAATATACTTGTCACATATTTTTTGGATACTATTATTTAGCATATTTATATTCATTGACTTGTTTTTTAAAACATTTAGTACTAAGACAGAACAGTTTAATTTGTTTAGTATCATTTCAAGTTCCTCCAAAGTATGTCTAGGATTTGTATCATTTTCTCCAATACATATTACTATCTTGTTGTCTTTATGTACCTTTACATCGCGGCAACTATTTAATACTTCGAAAGTACTACTTTGTATAGCCTGATACTTCATATTTTTGATATACTGTATTTTGTCGAGAATGTATTAAAGCTGAAGCTAATCCAGAGCATTGTTGTGTACTGTAAGTGTATATATATTTAGAGTTGGTATTTTGTTTGTTTCGAAGTGATGTATTTTCGAGTGAAAACGTTGTCTTATTATTATTAATTCTATTGTCAGGCTTATGCAACTTCAACTCAAGTATTCTAATTTGTTTATTTAGATCCTTAATACACTCATTAGATCGCGATAGTTCTTGTTCGAGTCTTGTTATCTTATTTTCGAGATTCATACATTCTTTAAAATTGGCTTTGGGTGTGCTGAAATTATTATCTGGAGGGGTCTTCGTTGGTGCGTTTGTGCATCGTAAAATGTTGTACTTATTTTTTTTATTTGAGTTAGTAATGCTTTTATTTAATGGTGAATGACATAGGTTTTTTAAAATATCTATTTCTTTTGTTAATTTTGATACTAGTTAGTTAGTTAGTCATTTGAATTCGCTATTTTCTATTATTATGTTTTCTAATTCATTTTGCGTGCTCTGAAGATTAGATGTAAGTTGACTAATTTCTTCCTTGAATTCTAGTGTTGTTAATTTGCTACCAACAGTACATTCTAAACTTTTTGATAACTTTTCGGGGGATAAAAATAAGTCGTTTAAGTTATCAGTATCGGTAAGTATATGTGAATCCAAATTTTGAGACATGAGTGTATCTATACTATGTATGGATGTGATAGACATTTGAGATACAGTTTCTTCGGGTTTTATGTCTTTAGTATTTACTGTATTATTTGTTTTTTTCTTAATGTTACGTTAGATTGATCGATTGAGAATGCATTTTTACAAATTTTCTGTTTTTGTATACATAATAGACACTTCCAATTTTTTCGCTTCTCATATCCATTATAAAGAATCGCTTTTCTGAGACACCTGCGCAGTTATATTCGTATCTATTTTTACAAGAAGAACATACTATAGTCTCTTTTATATCAATTTTACATTTGCATGTTGCTACTGCCATCTTACGGCCGCTTTTGGAAACTTTTCGGATCGGATTTCGTATCCATTGTCTCAACACCAATGTGTACTGTGCACGTATGAATTTAAATATTGTAGTCTTTTTATTCACACACTTTAGTCTACACTGTTTCTAAATATTATTCCGTAACAGGATAAACACAAAAAATGCTGTACTAGTAGGATTTAATCTTGCAATCAATTTTTGACCAGTATACTAAAAATTGTAAGTATAGCTACTAGGCCAATTTTGTATTCATAAAAACCTTTGAAATTAGCGATGTATAGTTTCACTGGATTCTTAATGTTCGTTATGCGTTTTGAATTATTTTGTTTGCACCCTCACCAAACATTAAAGATGCACATACCAAATTTTATTGTTATTTAATCAATTTATTGATTGTCCTTTACTTGCAATTAACACGAATACAGGTTTTTTCTACACTGATAATTATTTATATTGAAATTCTGTCTTGTAATTGTTATATATCCCATATCATAGTTAATTCACTTTATCACTTTTTATTATTATTTAACACTTTTTCTTCTGTATAACATATATATCCTAATAGTCACAATGATATTTATATATTTAATCAATTTTCGACAGGATTTACACACTTTTTAAATTTTTTGGAACCAATAGTACGGAGAGCTAATGTTTACGTGACGGTGGCGTCCTCACTCCTCCAAAAAAGGTGACGCTGAAGAACCTACAAATTATCGTCCAATATGTATTTTGCCTGTACTTTCTAAAATTATGGAAACAATATTAAAGAAACATATGGTGCAGTATTTTGAGGAAAATAATCTCTTCACTCTTCAGACAAACAATATGGTCGACAGATATAGCAATTACTAACACCATGGAATTTATACTGGAATCTTTTGATAAATCTATGAAATGCGGTAGCATTTTTTGTGACCTCACTAAAGCCATAGACTGTTTGTGACATGACCTATTATTTGATAAATTAGATTACTATGGACTTAGACATAATGCTATTAAAATAATGAAATCATATTTAAGTAACAGAAAACAGATAGTATCGTTAAATGACAATACAGTATCAGAAATGCAGAACATTAGTATTGGTATTCCTCAAGGTTCCATCCTTGGACCTATTCTTTTTTCTTTTTCGTTTACATATATATGTAAACGATCTGCCAGCTAATTTACCAGAAGAGACATTTGTAACTTTATTTGCAGATGATACGTATGTAGGAATAAGAAATACAAATAAAACGGAACTAGATAGAATGATGACTAACACCGTAGAAACGCTGCATGATTGGTTTCAATCAAATGGTATTGTATTAAATGCCGCTAAAAGTATTTTAATGTAATACTCCACCAGACGTAAGAAGCAAAATTCTGTCTATTCTGACAACACATATAGTCAAAGTACCACATTTTTAGGATACACTATAGATAGTACAGTAAGTCATGCATCACATATCGAAAGATTATGTAATAAATTAGCATCAGCCAATTATGCTTTGAGTAAACCGAAGCAAGTGTTATCAAAAAAAGTACTGAAAACTATGTACTTCGCATATTTTCAGTCTTCATTGTCATATGGTATTACAGTCTGGGGTAATGCAAGTCTCATAGCAAAAGTCCTGAGGCAACACAAAAGAGCTATCCGACTTATATGCGGAATCCATAGACGCAC